CCTTTCTCCTTTCCTTCCTTTCTCTTTCCCTCCCTCCTTTCCTTCCTCTCTCCTTCCTTTTCTTTCTTCCTTGCTTCCTTCTTCCCTCCCTCCTTTCTTTCCTTCCTTTGTCCCTCCCTCCCTCCTTTCTTTCCTTTTCTAACCTTGGCTTTCCTATTTTCTTTTTTCTACTTCTCCCCTCCTTATACCTTAGGTCTCTTGATCTCCTTTCTTTCCTCACCCCAGCCCTGCTTTAAGTCCCTGGTGCTGCCCCTCAGGGTTAAACCAGACTGCAGTTCTCTGGCCCATACCACCCTCAGCAAGTCACTGAATGTTATGTAAGTCACTGTGTTAGTGCAGAGGGGTACAAAGACAAAGAGGGCCCAAGTACAACCTCATCCTAACTCAAGAAATGTACACTCTCCAGTCTGTTGCTTACTGTTAATGTAACAACCTTGGGCAGTTCACTTAGCCTCATGGTCTGAATTTCTAAGATGTAGGGGTTGGTCTAGAAGATTAAAGTCCTTTACCCCTGGAAATCCTATTATACCAATGACAGAAGGAAAAATAAGCCCATAACCAGGATGCATGAAAGAGCTGGATATATGAAAGGGACAAGTCCAGAAAAGTCAGGGGTGGCTTCATGTTCTTTAAACTGGGCCTTGATGGATGGGAGGGAGTGGGGGGATGTGAGAATGCAGGGTTATAGTCCATTTCTAGCTCACAAAAAGGCATGAGCAAGAACAGAGAGGAGATGGCAGAAGATAAGCTGAGAATGGGGGAAGAGAGAGGAATCCAATTTCACCATAAGGGAGAATATGGGAAGAAAATAGTAATAATAGCTAACATTTATATAACACCTACTATGTGCCAGGCTCTATGCTAAGAGTTTTACAAAAATTATCTCATTTGATCCTCCCAACAGCCTTGGGAGGTAGGTGCTATTATTATCCCATTTTATGGTGGAGGAAACTGAGGCAGACAGAGGTTAAATGACTTGCCCAGGGTCATGCAACTGTGTCTAATGCAGGGTTTGAACTCAGGTCTTCCAGATTCCAGGCCCAGTGCTCCATCCATAGGGCCACTTAGTGATCATGGTTTAGAAAGGTAGATTTTGGAGGATTTTGAATGCTGGTATTAAGAGTTTATACTTTATTTGGAGGATCACTGAAGTTTTCTTGGATCATACCAGTGTGGTGGAAAAATTACTGGGGGCAGTGATATGGAATTGGAGAAATCTGGAAGTAGGAGGAACAATTGGGGTAATGGCATGACAGGGCAGGGAGTGGGTCTTAAGGACTCAAACTAGATAAACTAGACCTGGGGTAGCAGGAATGGAGAGGGGGGACCCCACAGAATTAATGGGACCTGGTGATTACTTGGAAGTGGAGTAAGGAGAGAAGAGTCCTTTGTGACCCCATTTGGGGTTTTCTTGGCAAAGATACTGGAGTGGTTTGCCATTTCCTTTTCCAGCTCATTTTACAAATGAGGAAACTGAGGCCAACAGGGTGAAGTGACTTGCCCAGGGTCACACAGCTAGTAAGTATCTGAGGCCAGATTTGAACTAAAGGAGATGAGTCTTCTTGATTCTAAGTCCAGTGCTCTATCCAATATGGTGACATAGAAGGCTATGAGGATCCTTTCCAACCCTCACTTTCCCAAATTATAGGGACAACTAGGTGGCACAGTGGATAGTGATAAAGAATTGGACGTGACCCAACAACAACAACAACAAAAGCCCAATGTAAGAGCTTAATCTGTGTTTGTTGATTGACTGAGTGCCCTTCTGGGCTGAAGAAACCCAGGTGGAGCAGCCTAGTGCAATGGGGAAAGCTCTGTTATCAGGAGTCACAGAATCACAGAATCACAGAAACTGGGTTCAAATATCGCCCATGCCCTTTGCTTCCTGCGTGTCTGTGACCTCTGTAAAACGGAAATGATTGTAACTCAAGGCTTACCTCCAAGAGCTGTTATGAGGTTCAACTTATATCATAGATGTAAAGTGCTTTAAAAAAAAAGTGACAACCCTCTGTGCCTCAGTTTCTCCATCTGCAAAACGGGGATACCTACAGGCTTACTACACAGGGTTGTTGTGAAGCTCAGCTGGGATCATGAGAGTAGCACTCTCGTTTAACCTCTAGAGAAATTCCTCAGTTTCCCCATCTGTAAAACGAGAGGCTTGTCCTCGATGACCCTCTTAGTCCCTCCCGGGTCTAGATCCTAGGATCCCGAGAGTGATCCTTCGATCGTGAATCCATTCCCGACACACCCACCTGGTACAGCCAAGCCAGCACCCGGGGATCCTTCCGAGAGGAGCTGGGCGGGAGGCCACGCGTGGCAACTGTGTCCACACCTGCGGCCGAAGAAAGGACAGTTACGCACAGTCCCCTCCCGCATCCACGGGAGTGCCCACGGGAGCGTCCCCCAGAGTCAGCCGCGGGGCCCAGAGGGAGCGGGCGCGAGACACTTACCTGGCCCACGCTCACAAGTTGCCTGCCGGCCCCAGTTTGTTGTAGGCGGAGCCATGGTAACGGAAGGCTCCACTAGCTACGGCGGGGGCGGGGGCGGGGGTAGGTGGGGAGAGGGGGAGAGCGGAGAACAATTCCCCCTTTATAAGCCAATGGCACATTCCATCCAGGGTCCTTGGTCCTGCTGGGAGAGCCTACGCACTGCTGGGGTTGGGGGCGAGGGTGTCAGGCTGTCAGGGACCTAGGCAAGAGTCTGATCGTGAGCTACAGCTCCCACTCCCTCGTTGCTAGCCTCATTCCTGACCTCATACTTCTTCCAGGTGGAAGGGGCATCCTGGGCGCCAATGACTTCAATGTTATGTGGCTTTGACGTCATGGTGTGCAGTGTGACGTCAAGGTACCTGATGTGATGTCCTGGTGTGGAGTTCATAGGATCTTTGCTGGAGGGGGGAATCTCAGGGGCCAGCTAGCTCAAACCCTTTTTTTGGTTTTGGTTTTTGTTTTTTTGCTAGGCAATGGGGTTAAGTGACTTGCCCAGGGTCACCCAGCTAGTGAGTGTTTTGTGTCTGAGACCGGATTTGAACTCAGGTCCTCCTGAATCCAGGGCCAGTGCTCTATCCACTGTGTCACCTAGCTGTCCCCAAACCCTTCTTTTTATAGAGGAGGAAACCAGGGTTCAGGGAGAAGTGGGAATATTAGCTTCTTGAAAAGAGATCAATTCATTTTTTCTATCTCCAGTTATGTTTGGTGCTTTATTGGCTAATTGAATAATAATATAGTTAGCCTCGGTTTTCTCATCTGTAGAATAAGGATCATAATAATATTTATACTGCAGGGCTGTGAAGATCAAAAGAGAGATAACACATGTAAAATCTGTGCAAAACAAATCATTTTGTATACATATCTATCTCTCTATCCCTAAATATTGTTATTTACATAGTGCTTTAAAGCACTTTACATATGTTATCTCACTTGATCCCCACAACAACCCTGCAAGGAGGGTGTTATTTTTATTTACACAATTTACAGATGAGGAAATAGAATGGTAGGTTACATGACTTATCCAAGGTCACACAGCTAGTAACATCCCAGTTACTGTGACTCTAAACCCCATTACCTTGAGGTTGCCCCAGCATGCAGTGGTGTCCTGGTGCTGTGGGGGAATGACTGAGCTTTATATCATAGGATTACAGACTTAGAGCAGGAGGGAACCTCAGAAATCACCTCGTTTTACCTCCCGGTTTTACAGATGAGGAAATTGAGACACAAAAAGACAATATTTTTAAAATGAGCTTTATATATAGTCTCTCTCCTCTGAATCCCGCAAAGACCTGTGAGACAAGCTTACAAGCACAATTATCCTCGTTTTATAGGTGAGAATACTGAGGCATAGAAGGTTAAGTGATTTATTCAACTAGTAAATGTCAGAGGGGGGATTTGAACCCAGATCTTCTTGAACCCAGACTCTAGCTCAGTGCTTAGTCCATCATATATCATGCTGTCTCCAAGAAGCCCTGCACTCCCTTGCCATGACACAGAGTTTTCTTTATCCATCTTCACCTACTCACCATCATCTCTGCAATCATCAATATTGTTCGGAACCTTGGTACATAATTTTACAGGGTCCAAAGTGCTCTCCCTATCTCTTATCTCATTTGATCCTCTCAATTAGCCTATATAGGATGTCATTTTGGAGGTGGGAAACCTGGGACTCAGAGGACTCTTTCCCATTTGACGCCCCCTCAGTTCCTTTTTATGTATTGTTTTCCCTCGTAGAATGTAATCTCCTTGAAGGCAGGGCTTAACTTTTTTTTTGCTTTTATTTGTATTTTCAGCACTTAGCACAGTGCCTGTAACATAGTACTTAACAAATGCTCTCTCTATTCTCTCTGTCTGCTGTTTTCTCTCTGCCCATCTCTCTCTCTCTCTCTCTCTCTCTCTCTCTCTCTCTCCCTCTCTCTCTCTCCCTCCAAAAACTTTAATATTGTGGAGGTTCTGAAACTAAGTTACTGAATGCTTGAATTCATTTGTTATATTATTAAACATCTGCATTTGAAGGGGGGTGGTATTGGTCTTTGACCATGTGGTTACCTGTCTCCCTGGTGCAACTGATGAAATCACAAAGACAGCAGATTTATACCAATGCCCTGTTACTGCTTTATGAAGGGTGAAGATATTTCCCTGATAGAATTGAAAGGGCAGTTTGTCACAGAGTGGCAGATTAGGTGGTCTTCAAAAAAATCTAAGCTTATTTACTTATTGGTTACAAGGAATTGATTTTTTTTTAACTGAGGAGGAGAAAATTTAGAGGATGAGGTGGGCTAATGATAGCTGAAATCAATGCAGAAGAAGAGAAAAGAACAATAAGAACATTAGTGGACAGAGAGAGCAGGAGAGAGAAAGGAAGGAAGAAAGGAAAGAAGGAAGAAAACATCTTCAAAGATACCTGGCAGCAAAGAAGAGAACCTTAACAATGAATTCAAGGGAAAATTAGTCCTGGCAGTCAGTAACTGAACTATGGAGAGGAGCAGGGCTAGGAAGCCCACGTAAGCACCCAACTCAACAGAAATTGTGCCCAGGGGAGGGTAGTATGAGGTCACCATAAAAAGAGAAAGTACAACAGGGTTCTGTCATAGAAGAGAAAGGAGTTAAATGTCCACATTTCCAAGTATGTGCCTTACTATGAGTTTACTCTGTGCATATACTTCTCACTGATACATGGTGTGTTTGTGGGATAGTGCAACCAGGTTTATGAATGGGAGAGAGTGGGGGGGAGGTGGATATTATGTCTACCAGCTGATTGTTGATGGGAAGTGCATCAGAGGAGGCCCCCATGAAAATGGTAAACCCTTAGGAGTACCTTAAATCCCAAGGTGGGTGCCCCCCTCTAGGCAACCCAATCTGTCCACACAAATATAAGTTGGGGAGATAGCCCAGAAGGGGGGTACTAAACATCTCTTTACCTAGCCCTAATCACTCTCTCTCTCTAGCTCTAACCCCACATTATGAGTCAATTAGAAGGCCAGATAGCAAGAATTTATTAAGCACCTACTATGTGCCAGGTACTGTGCTAAATGCTGCCAACTGCCCATTGGACCCCTCTGATTGGATATTCTGTTAGCATTTCGAACATGTTCAAAATAGATCTCATACTCCCTATACTTATTCCTTTCCCAATCTTCAATTTGTTTTGATTTAATGAGCATTTATTGAGCACCTGTAATGTGCCAGGTATTTTTCTGGGGATATGAAGACAAAATAAAACAGTCGCTGTCCTCAAAAGAGCTTCTGTTCTGCTGGGGGAATACTGCAGAGACAGAGATAAGTATAGCCAAAGTACATCCAGAATGCAAAGGAATGTGAAAGGGAGCCCAGCTGTGAAAGCACCTGAGCTGTAATTTGGAGGCAGGGAGGAATGTAGTCTAGATGAAACAATGTGCAAGGCCAGTGGGGCTGGAATGCAGAGTATGTCTAAAGTGAATTAAGCATAGGAAGATAGGTTGAAGCCAGATTGGCAAGGGCTCTCAATGTCAGTCATCAATGCAGCATGCTGGAGAGGACGCTGGATTTGGAATGAACGGAATTTGGTTCAAATCTTGGCTTTGCTCCTTGTTACCTGGGTGTCTTTGGGTATGTCACTTAACCTCTCCTGGCCTCAGTTTCCTCAACTGTAAAATGAAGGGATTGATCTAGATGGCCTCTAAGGTCCCTTCTGTCTCTAAATCTATGAACCCCTGGGTTTGTATTTTCTCCTGGAGGTGTTAGGGAGTCATTGAAACGTCTTGAACAGAGGAATGCTTTGGTCAGACCTATGCTAGAGGGATATCAATTTCTGTTGAAGACTAGACTCCTTTTAATAACCCAGGTTTACAGCCTCAGTCATTATCAACTCCTCTCTCTCTGTCTCTCTCTCTCTCAGTACCCCCATAGTTCATACCCTCATCCTTTCTCACCTCCACTATTGCAAAAACCTACCAAAGAGACTCTGTGTTTCCAGTGTCCACCCTCCTCCTCTCAGTTTAACGCTACACTAATGTCCAATTAATATTCCTACAGCACAAATCTGACCACGTCAGTGACTACGTCACTCCTTTCCTCAACAAGTTTCAATAGCTCCCCATTGCCTTCAGGATAAACCTCTTTCTTTGACATTCAAAGTCCTTCATAGTCTTGGCTCCAATCTATTTTTCCTGGTTTATTTCATATTACTCCCCTTTACATACTCTATGTGGCTTACTTTCTGATTTAGAATCTTGTCTTTACCTCTCCTATACCCATGGGCATCCTCCATATCTAGAATCCCCCCCCCACTTATCTCAACCTCTTCTAATCTCTGGCTTCCTTCAGACTTATCTCAGGTACAACCTCCAATGGGAAACCTTTCCTGATCCCCTCCCATTGTGAGTGCTCCCTTCCTCTTCAATCATGTCAATATTTTTTTTCTGTCCACATATTGACTCTCCTTGGAGAATGCAAGTTCCTTGAGGGCAGAAATTGTTTCCCTTTTCTTTGTATCCCCAGGGTCTACTATATAGTGTCTAGTGCATAGTAGGCACAAAAATGCTTGTTGGATTGTATTGTATTCCTAATACAATGTACATTATTTAGAACCTTTTGTACAATTCAATGAAAAAAACTATTCGTTCATTCATCCATTTGTTTGTTTGCTTATCAAACACATTAATTTCCCACCTGGTTGCCCTCATTTGGACATCTCAAGTATGTCCACAAGAACCTCAGTATCCTGCCAGATCCCACCAGCCTTGGTACTTACACCTCCTCAGAACCCTCTGCCTGGGGGCCCCTCTGATTGGAGGGCAGAGAGAAAAGAACTCCTCCCCAAGTCTCCATTTAAGAGAGGTGACCAGGCTCTATCTCTATATTGCTTCCCTCCCACTCCCCAGTGCAGAAGCTGTCTCTTTTTTTTTGTATTTATATCCTCAGTGCTTAGCACAAAGCCTGGCACATAGTGGGTGCTTAACAAATGTTCATTTACTGCCACCTACTATGTGCAAGGCATGCACAGTCT